GATAATAAACATTTCTTATCATTCTCATGACGTCTGATAAAGTATATGATTTACTATAATAATAATCATTTTTTATCATTCTCATGACGTCTGATAAAGTATATGATTTACTATGATAATAAACATTTCTTATCATTCTCATGACGTCTGATAAAGTATATGATTTACTATGATAATAATCATTTTTTTATAATTCTGATTATACAAATGATAATTCATACCAGAAATAAATAAGATTTAACATTATGTAAGTTTTATAACTTATACTATAAGAAACACGTTTTACGTTTTTGTTTTACTCTTATTTTTAAGATAAGGTTTCTTGGTGTTTTTTATCCTTACGGTTCCGAAGAAGAACATAAAACATGAAACCTACGGGATTATTATTATTACTCTGTTTTGTAATGTGAATGTAAGTACACAAGCGAGTATTTCTATAATGGATAGAACAGAAATAGTTGATAAAGATGATGTATGTGAAGATTTACTCTACGCATGCTGTAATTATTTAAATAAAAACTGGTTTAATGTACGTGCATATGAATTATTTCTCACTGTTCTGATATTCCGGTCGCTAGAGGACGTTATATATATATATAGTTAAATTGTCCGCTAAATCCCTATAGAAGACACCTAGTGGCACGACCGAAATCACAGAAAAACAGTGTTCCACCGTACGTATTCTTATCTTTTGTTGGCCAGCACAATTATCACACAAGCTCCGTTGGGTGCTAAATATTAAATGTGACTTACTGCTAGCATATCGCCTGCCACCAAGTTGCTCTGCGAATAACGATTACGTGCAGCAAGACGGGGCTGCGGTACGCCGGGTATTAGCCAGCGTGGCTGCCACCGCTGATATCGGTGGACGTGTTCAGTTTTATAACACACCCAGCATAAAAAGTGCGGCTGAGAGTATGGGAAAACTGAGCCACTGAATAATGAATGATTTTCAGTCAACGAGAAAGGCGCGCGAAGTATGCACGCTTGGAGGCTAAGTTAACGGCGCGTGCAATACGTTGTGAACGCAGCAGCTCACCCCCCCCCCCCCAAAGCCAGCAAGCAGAACGCAATATGAACGCTGCTGATAAACGGTACCATTGATCAGCCTGCCAGCTGTTACGCCAACAGCTGTTACGCCAACAGCAAACACGTTATTAAGGGCCGGGATGGGTTATTATAGTGGGCACAACCAATCTTTAGGGGTGCGCCACCCACTGTATGACCACTTGTTCTCCTGGTAACATAACACCGATCGGAGGGTGAGTTGGCGGAATCGTGGATTAACTTGCCGCAGGCCAATCGTTTCTTCCGTCGTTCTATCCGTTGTTACTGTTGGATTTAGCGTTTTCTACCAGAGGCGGTTGAAGCGTACCGACTTTATGGATAGCAGTGTTTACTAATAACGACTTCTGTCCTCATACTTGCTCTGAGAATGTTAAAAAAAAATACCGCGTTCGTCGCACGTGCCGTGCCTGTAAATTAAAGCGTCATTTATCACAAAGATGACCTTGGTCCTCCAGCAACACCCTTCGGGAAGAAGACGGATTAAACTGTGAGAAATCTAGACGGCTTAAATAACGTGTTTTGGATCACAGCCACATTCTAGCATAGAATAAAGCATATCTCAGATCAGGCTTAAATAACGTGTTTTGGATCACAGCCACATTCTAGCATAGAATAAAGCATATCTCAGATCAATATATATATATAGTCTACTCCTATTCATAATAGATAGATAGACTGTCTGATTGACTGTTGGTAGAGAGATAGATAGGTTGACAGAAAGAAAGATATAGATAAATAGACAGACAGCTAGGAGAGATAGATAGATATAGAAAACAGATTTATGAACAGATGCAGAGATAGACCTATACATAGAAAAATACATAAATAGATATATAGATTCATAAAGATATAAATAGATAAACTAACAGATGTACATACAGACTAGTAGATAGTCGGTTAGACAGATAGGTAGACAGAGAATATATTAAACAGATAGACTACTTGGAATTAGACACTACATCCACTAAGTTTTGAGAGCAACGCTTAAGTTGTAGAAACAGAAAAATGACCAAATGTGGACTACATTCATTCTGTTAACATTTCTAGGAGAGGCGGAAAACAATTGGAATATGTTAGGATATTGTGTTAATGCTACGGTGAACTTTATCAGATTACGTTCGGATTAAACGATATCCCACTGGTTCTTAAACATATCTGAACTTTATCAGATTACATTGGGATTAAACGCTATCCCACTGGTTCTTAAACATATCTGAACTTTATCAGGTTACGTTGGGATTAAACGATATCCCACTGGTTCTTAAACATATCTGAACTTTATCAGATTACGTTGGGATTTAACAGCGCATTTATTGGTTCTTAAACATATCTGAACTTCATCAGATTATGTTGGAATTAATTAAGAGCTGTCAGATCGGCTCCCGAAAAGATTCATCTTTTCACTGGAATGTAATCAAAGTAGAAATTCATCATTTCGTCAAAGGAACTGCTGTAAGATTGCTTCTATCATAACGTATACTAATATGTATTAGTAGGCCATAAAATTATTAACGATTTTTTAAATGTTCTAATTCGTTTTATCCCTGATGTATTTTGTCCAAAGAATGACACCCATAACACAGCGTGAGGAAATGACTTGTAAATGTTATATTAAAATTGATTGGAGATTAGACGTCAGTTGGTTACCCTTATTATACAAATTTAGAGAAAAAATCATGGTTTTGAAAAAGAAATATATTACAGTCAGTTTCTCACAGAAATATCTTGTCATATCATTTTACAATATTTATAATTTATTTTGATTAAAAATCAAATGACATTGTGATATTAAAATAAATAAAACGTGACATCAGCTATAAACATGATATGACCTCTCTAACATAATTGAATAGGCTAAGGGATCAGATCATTGTTTAAGTGAAGATAAGCGTTATAGATGTAGTAATAACACGTATCGATATCCAAAATCTACAAACAGTTCTTACGTTTGGCGGTTTAAGACAAACTTACGTGTCTTACTTCGTGGTTCTCGAGGTCCATCTACAGTCACTTTGATTGCCTTTGAGTACGACGCCACCTGGGGAGGACTAGTGCTGATAGTAATAGTTATGGATAGACTCTTTCCTGAGAAAAATAAAACAACAAGAAAAAAAATATTCTAAAACATACATGTGATTTGAAATAAGGAAATCTTATTAAAAGTAAACTTTTCCAAAAAGTGTCAACACTTTTGACTATTAACACCTTAGTTTAATAATAATAATGTAACCGAACAACACGTACTTTCAACAAAGTAACTCTGTGTATGTAACCCAACAACACGTACTTTCAACAAAGTAACTCTATGTATGTAACCGAACAACACGTACTTTCAACAAAGATAATGGATAATCTTAGTTAGGGTAAGTATAGCAATGAATAGCCATGA